CCTGCCACAAACAAACAAACAGACAAACAAACAAACATATATACAATATGCAAAACCAAAAGCGTGATAAAAAACGTACGAACAAACGTAAAGCAGAAATTTTCTTTAAAAGCAAAGAAAACATATAACGTATGCAAACACACACACACACACACACACACACACACACACACACACACACACACACACACACGCACACACACACACACACACTCACACATACATACATACACACATACACATACATACATGTGTATAAAAAGAATCCTGCATATTTATTCATTTAATCGTATAAGTGTAAGATTTAGAGTTCTAGCCATTCACATTATGTAATATATCCCCTGGTCATACTTTTTTCTTGTATAATTCTCTCTCTCTCTTTTTCTCTGTCTTTTTCTTCCTCTTTTCTCTCTAATTTTTTTATTTTTTGGCAATTTATTAATTTCTTGCACTTCCATTTCTTCAATTTCTTCCATTTCGTAGCTGATGGACATATTTTTCAAGTTTCTCTGCCCTTCATTCACTTTCTCTTTCTCTCTCTCTCTCTCTCTCCCTCTCTTTCTCTCTCTCTCTCTCTCTTTCTCTCTCTCTCTCTCTCTCTCTCTCTCTCTCTCTCTCTCTCTCTCTCTCTATCTTCCCATCGCTATCCGCATGACAATCTAATTTAAGATAGCTAGCTTTCTCCGCGTTCGCCCGTTCGTTCGTTCATTCGTTCATTCGTTCATTCATTCGTTCATTCCTTGTTTTATATTTTTGTTTGTACGTTCATTTATTCATTGATTCATTCATTGATGCATTCATTGATTCATTCATTGATTCTCTCATTCATTCGCTCCACCCTTCGTTCATTCCTTCATTCCTTCCTCATTGCAGCTTGTCGATCATTAACTTTCCCTAAGAATGATTAATGTATTGTCTTAGACATCATAATAAAAAATAATAAAATACAATAACAACAACAACAACAATAATAATAACAATAACAATAAATCTTTAATATTTTAAATTCAAATGTATTAAATTGCGTATCTACCCACCTTCCATCCATCCATCCATCCATTAACTCATTCCACACATTAGTATTTAAGTGTCGTTTTAGTTTTCTTAATTTTTTGTTTGTTTGTATGTATGTCTGTCTGTCTGTCTCTCTTTCTGTCTGTCTCTCTCTTTCTTTCTTTTTCTCTTTCTCTCTTTCTCTCGGTCTGTGTGTGTGTGTATGTACGTATGTATGAACTACACAGTGTTTAATTTCAACGTAATCTGTCTTGAATTTTAAAATAAAAAGTTATGCTATACCACTTATAAACAAAAACGCACATACACATACACACACACAGATACAAACATATATACACACACATACAAACATACACACACATACAAACAAACATACATAAACACACATACAAACAAACATACAACGAAATAGATGTATGCAAATAAACAGACAAACAGCCAACCAGACGGACGTACACTCAAAATGGATGTTTTCTATTAAATTGAGTATGGGAATAAACTATAAATATTTTTACTTATTTTTAAGAAAGAAGTTTGATGGATGGATAGATGGATGAACAGTTAAATGAATAAATGAAAACGAACGAATAAGACAAATAAGAGAGAGAAAGAGAGAGAGAGGGAGAGAGAGAGAGAGAGAGAGAGAGAGAGAGACATAAACAAACCGAATTATTGATGTCAACACTTAGAGGTTCATAACTTACTGGAATCCAGTTAGTGTTTCCCATAAAC